AAAGAAAAAAAAAAAAAAGGGGGGGGGGGGGGGGGGAGCCAGTACTTTCCTAAGCCAAGTACAAATTACTTTAAAATTATCCAACGTTTTAAATTATCTTCACCATTGTTCCTCTTTGGTCAGAATTGGAGGTTGATTCTACTAAAAATGCAGTATCTGTCCTCTTATGGACACAGCTAGCTCGTCCCTATGTTCAATGAATCCTGAAAGAAAAGGAAGCACACTAGAAAACCTGTTGGCTTACTAGCACATTACATTCCCAGTCAGAAATGACAATGAATGTGCATTAAATAGAAACGTATGGCTCTAAAAAGGCCACTATAAGACTGAAAGTCATGTCATTGCTGCCTTGCTTTATAAAAGGAAGGCCTGAAATCCAGTCATATTCTCAGTAAGGAGTAACATTATGTAAAACAAAACATTTGGCAAAATAATAATAATGCAAATAATCACTCCCTAATAGCTAAGGTTTTGAGTAGTAAATTTTGTTCTTGTTAGAGGGGGTTAAGCAAAGTTAAATGCCCTCAGGTAGTAGTTTGCAACTTGGAATATTTTGCTTCCTAGGGGAAATTTCCAGTGTCTAGAGATACTGTAATTTTCATGACTGGTTGGGGATGCTACTGGCATCTCATGGACTGAGATTAAGACTCCCAACAAGGCACAAGGAAGCTCCCCCCCCCCCCCAACAAAAGTATCTAGTCTAAACTGTCGATGGTGCCAAGATAAGAAACCTTCAACTAGGAGACACTAGAGAATAACATAGGGCATTCTATTAGCAATTTAAGCAGTTATTAATTCTACACAGTACAACAATATCTAGTGAATCTGATTCTTCCAGGGGTATGACTCCTGCATCTGCACTGAGCAAGAATGCCATCCTAATCTCCATGCCTAGGGAGGGCTTGGCAACACTTGGATCTCACTATAGAAACTAAGAATCCCATAAGAAAACAAAAGCATGAACATCAGCTACACTCAGCCCAACTCCTGGTTCATACATGGGAAATTTATCACCTGATTATCTCTTCTTTATTGCTAAGAGTCATCACCAACAGATCAGTGTGAACTAGGCTTCCAGTGGTCTATTTGCCTGTTTATATGTAACACCAATAATCTAGCTACACTGTCACTGATTTGTAGATATACACAGTGGTACATGTTGACAGTGGCTTAGGAAAACTACCATAAAAACTAGATACAAATACTCATTTTCATATTTACTCTCCCTTCACTGGCAAATATTTACCCATGTCTTCCACTGAGTATCTTTATTTTTTTCTGACAGGTGAGCTGCAAGATCTTGCACTTTTTTCACCAGTACATGATGGCCTGCAATTATTTCTGGATGCTCTGTGAAGGAATCTATCTTCACACACTCATCGTGGTGGCCGTGTTCACAGAAGAGCAGCGCTTGCGGTGGTATTATCTCTTGGGCTGGGGTATGTATTCTCTCCTGCTGAGTTCTGTGCCACCTATACTTCTGTCTGTATGTTTATAATCTTCTTCTAGTCATGGTTACAGAGAATAGAGTCAAGGGCCCAGGTCCTTCAAGGAATGATGGATGCAGGTATTAGTAGGAGTTCAGTTTCTGAGAGAGATTAGTAGAGATCCTTCAACAATCTCAATCAAACTGTGACAGACATGAGGATAAGCACAAAGAAGGAAGTTAGAACTATAGGAGTATCTTCAGAAAACTATGAGAGTATCTTCAGAGAACAAATCCAGGATGGATGCAAAACATGCCCTGATTGAAAGAAGATCTGGTTTATTCATCACGTTATAGAGCAAAAGAGAATTTCTTATTTGAGTTCTGTACCTCCCACATTGTAGGCCAATTTCCCTCCCTCAAGAACAATTCTTCGTATCAATCCATCAGCAGGACTCCTCCAGTGGAAGGTCAGGAAGTAGATTCCAGCTAATAGACAGCTATATAGTTTTCAAGTAAAGCCTGGTTGACATCATAGCACATGGCAATGGCTTTGAAAAGCCCAAGGTTGTATCGTTGAAGTGTGGCTGCTTCTGTACAGACTGACAAAGGTTTCTCAGGACTCTAGAATTGTTTCCCTTCTTCCAGGACTGCTAAAAGTTCTGCTTCTTCTAGTAAGAGGATGAGGCAATGAAAGGGAAAAGCACATGCTATCTTCAAAACAAGCAAATAAACAAAAACAAAACAAAAACACAACTTTGAAGCTTTCATATCAGAGGAGGAACTTATGGGCCATTCCACACTGACTAGAGAGCTTAGGAGATCTCATACCACGTCCACAGATGGGATGACTGTGGCTCTCAAAGCTTAGGCTGTGGATGGCCTTTCATTAAGCCTGCCCTTTAATGCTGCAGACTGGGAAACCCCTGAAAATATTGTTAAGACAGGAAAGATTTAGTGATGAAGCAGATGATCTAAGCACTTTTTAAAACATCAATCTTTGACACAGGAATGTGTGTAAATAAGGGGAAGAGGTCACGAGAGTGGATTTTTATAGCAGAGTAAAAATCGGGGCCAGCAGGTGGCATGGTGATTAAGGGCGCTGGGCTCTCACATGGCCAACCACGGTTCAAGTCCTGGACCTAGCAGCTTACTTTCTCACTTTCTCTCTCTCTCTCTTTCTCTGTCTCTCTGTCTCTCTGGTCAAATTAAAATAAATAAATAAAAGTTAAACAATAAAAAAAATTCTAAAAAAATATGGACAATTTACTACATGTTTAAAAAACTAGAACTACTCTCACATGTGCACAGACCTACACAACACAATGTTCAATATTGAAGAAGTTGAATATGTGCCCATCTTTGATTTGATTAGGATACACTAGAAACGTGCTTTTAAAAAATTATACCATACCCACAAATATATACACTGGATATTTGTAAATCATAAATCAAAATGTAAAAATTAAAAAGAATATTCAGTAATTACACTTCCTCAAACACACACACACATCAACCATTGTATTTAAAGCCCTGCCCACCAGGTATTGTCACTAACTGTATAGAAATATGGCTGGGAAGCTATATACCAAATAGGGCTGGGAAGCTATATACCATCCAAAGTCTTTATCATAGTCTGTATATCAGAGCTGCCCTTAGGCAATATTTGTTTCCTGATACCCCCTAATAGGAATATGGATTTCACCAACTATATTGCCCAAACCCAATGGGATAATTCTATGATGGCAGATCAGCAAGACCCATACATTAAGTGCCTCAAAATTGAAATGATGATGCTACTACTCTTTCATTGCAAGTCACAGAATGTAAGATGTTTCCACTTAAGCAAAAGTAGAGAAATTGTCAGAATGTAGGGGATATATTTTAAGGAAGCCAAGGCCAGTAACAGCTGAGCTTCTGAAAGGGCTGTATCCTAGACCAGATAACAGGACCACTCTTTGTCTTTTATCTTTGCTTATCTTTGTTTTTCTCTGAACATCGGCTTTATCCCTTCTCTTGCTCTATAGTCCACAGTCCATATCTCTGCTCCTCCAATCCTCACGGTAAATACAACCTGCACCTGAGAGTCCTAACTTTGCATTTTTCTGGTCCAGACACACACAGAGACTGAACACCTATCCAACCGATATCAGGTTGCCTGCCCTGGTTCAAAGAACTGTGGCCAAGGAAGTTAAAGGGAGGATATTGTCGCATAGGGTTAATATGTCTGAGGATGGGTGAGCCATCTAGAAAAAACAAACAGAGGGGGGTCTCTGTGAACTGGTCAGGTCATCTAGAACATGCTTTGAACCACCACATCTGTGCAGGCTGCCCCACTGGGAACAGCAGCAGCAGTAGTGCAGTGTCTTCATGCACTTCCAATTCTAAGCTTAAGTTATACATTCTACAGTTTATCATTAAAGATTATACATTGTACAATTATAGGCTCACAACTATCCTGCTGATCCTACACCAGTGCTAGGTTCTCCTTCTCTGCCCTGTCCTCCAAACAAACCAGATTTCAGTTAAAATGACCTTTTATTCTTATTGTCTTTCAATCCTAGCCCATCATAAAAAGCTGGCCCTTCCTTTTCCTGCCCTTCTTGGCCTCATGCACATCCTCTCAATGATTCTCAGCTTCCAAAGCTGGTCATGCTGAGAATCAACGACATGCAATTTAATCCCATCCCCACCTCCAGTAGCAATTCTGATCATCACAAGGGTAATAATTGGTGCTTGGTCAAATGCCTTCCAACTGAAAACTTGAAAATAACATCTACCTCTAGGCTCACTACACACATATGCACATACACTACTTCTGTTAAATCTAGCAATATTTTACTTTTCTTTGAAATAAAATTTATGGCACCTTCCTTGTACCAAACTAGACCATTCAAAAACATCTATCTTTCACACCCAGAAAACTATCCATGGGGGGAAAAAAAAAGACTATAAGTTTATTCTGGCCTGCGATATTCACCAGAGACAAGGATACCCTAAAAGGGTCAATTTATACTGTTCTTTCAATGCTAATACATTGTAAAGTTAGTAAGGAAACTTTCTGGCACCATAATAGGAACAGCTGCTTAACATACATAAACAATTTAAAAAAAAAAAAGAACAAGCTATTCAATTATATCAAAAAGAAGGTAATCATAATTAAGTAAAATATTTATGTGATTACCCAAACCTTCATTTAAAAAAATAATAATTTGCTATGGGGTGCATGTGCTCACCAGAGAGAAAGAAAAAAAGCTCCCCTCATGGAGGATGACCACATTGCAATCCCTTCTCTTCCATTCTCTCGCAGGATTTTGGGCATGCACACATATGCACCCTGTGTGTTTTCCAAGCCTCTCAGTCTGGGACTCGAACCATGCAGTCAGTCATGTGGGATCCAACCACTTTAACCAACACATAACTGCAGGCCCTTCTACACCTTTTTTAATCATCAGATGTTTAAAACTTTATCAGAATGATTTACTGGGTCACCAAAACTGACTTTTCCAATGACCCAAAAGCAGAGTCCTAAAGAATGAGAAGTTGCTAATCAATAAGCACAGTTTTAGTAATGAAGAATGATGAGCACTTTCTAGAGATCTACTGTGCAACATTTATAGCATGTGCCTATAGTTAATGATTTTACACCTAAAAGTCGGTGAAGGGGATAGGTATCATGTAAGTATTTTTTCCACAATAAAATAAAAATGAAAAATGTTTTTAAAGAATTATTTTATTTAACTTTATTTTATTTATTTATTTAGTTTAGTTTGACCAGAGCGAGAGAGAGAGAGAGAGAGAAAGCAAGCCGCCAGTTCCTTGACTCAAACTGCAGTTGACCATGTGGGAGTCCAACACCCTTAACCACCATGCCACCTGCCGGCCCCAAAGTGAACATTTTTAAAAAGAGAAGAAAATTAGAGGAACTTCTACCTCCATAGATAGATTTTTGGCAAGAGTCAACTGAATAGTTCTAAAATGTAATTTTTCCAGAGTTATGGGGCCAGCAGGTGGCATGGTGTTAAGGGCACTGGACTCCCACATGACCAATGATGGTTTGAGTTCTGGACCTGGCAACTTGATTTCTCACTTTCCCTTCCTCTCTCTCTTTCTCTCTCTCTCCCCCTCCCTCCCTCCCTCCCTCCCTCCCTCTCTGGTCAAATAAATAAAGTTAAATAATTTTTTTTAATTCCTGAGTTAAATCTATTTTCTTCCACATTTGCACATGCACACCAAAATTCCATCAAACTCATTACCATTTAAAAAATTACAAATATGAATTCAGAATAAAATTTAGAGACGGCAATAACATATACTAAAGCAGTAGCCCTTTCTTAAAACTGTAGGCAAGTATTAGCTTTGGATGGAAGGAAAACAACTAAAATTATAACCAAAAGAAATCTATACTGGATAATGTTTTCATTGTTCTTTTGAAAAATTTTTTCATACCAAAACAGTATGATAGGTTCTACATTTTATAATTTTTTTTAAAAAAAAGATAGAAAGGTATAACCTGTACTTGGAAAATATTTTTGAAATTTAGGAGAAAATGACCCTCAAAAGCTATTTTTTAGACCTAACTTTGTGTACAAGTGATGTAAAGCTCATCTAGTCATTTCAGCTGTGAATATTAGCAACTTGGAGATCTAAAGCAACCTTAAATACTTACGAAAGCTACTGTAAACATCACCGTCTGAGTGAACAAGTATTTTGTGGTGAAATGCCTCCCAATAGAAAATGAGAAAACAATTTTCAGTAGTTAGTCTCTTCTGAGTATGCATGGGACCACTTAGTGGTCAAAATCTCAAACTGAAGCAACTTCAAATGCTGAAGTTTAGTTCTCAGAAATACCATTTATTTTATAGTCTTTTCCACTTTGTTTCTTCCCCTAGCCAGCCCCTCCCCTTTCCTATAAATTGGAAGAACCAAATTCCTCCCATGGACATTGTACATTGGACAATAGAATTCATCTAATTCCCCCTAAAAAAAAGCCTGTCGCTTAGTCACTGGGAGGCAGTGACTAACACTAGCACCTTGTAGTGCTGGAAGCCATATGAGGACTAGAGTGTTCCGATCCTGGGTAAGCCTGAGTAACATGCTAGGTGCTATCAGGCACTCAGGATCCTGAGAAACTGGAGGGCTAGGGAAGGGGAATGGTGCATGATGAGACCCTGTAGAGAGTCCGTTCTCTTTATCTCTCTTCTCTCTCTCTACTGTACATGTGCCTGGAGTGTTTCTATCATTTAGGGGAGAAAAGGAATCCTACAGAGGGAGAATTCTTTTTATTCTTGTCATCTTTGGTGGTAATAAGGATGGGTTACTACAGATAATAGATCCTGGAGAGAGAAGAAAACAAACAAAAAATACAAACAGCATTAAAAAAAATAAAATTAAATTAAAAATACAATGTGGCCAGATCTCTAAAAGATGTGGGGTCAGTAGTCCTCTCTATATCAAGTAGGAAACACCCTTTCCTTTCCACAAAATAATGAGTTGGGATTGAGATTTCCATATGTATGTCAGAGAACCCAGGTGGGGAAATGGTATGCTACAACTGCAATAAATAACACCATCATGTTTTGTGTAAACGGTCAAACTTAAAATTATTTCAAGCCAATGATCTTACTGAATTTTATGTCTCATAGGTTTAAAGCTGAGATTATTCTTAGGGGAAAACTCAATATTTGAGAACTTCTCTTTTTGCATTTAAGTCACAGAAAATAAAATTCTTTAGATTTACTTCTTTCCTGAAACACATTTCTTAATCTGATGATAATAGCAAAACCTGTTTCTCAAATGTCTCAGTCAAATCAAACAATATTCTATTGTGTATCGATTCAGTAAAAAGAGCATCTTTTTTTATTTTAAACAAAAATTAAAACTTTAGATTACATTTTTGAATACAATGGATCTTAAAAAGATGTAGTCTGGCAGGATGCATCACCAGTACCAGCTCCATTGTTCTGTTTATGTATTCAAAGTTGTGTTTTTACCACCAACTTCAAATTTAGTCAGAGAAGGGGACACTAAACCACCTTCATAAAGGTTTTACAGCCAGAACTAACAGAGAGCAGAAAATGTATGAATCTCCCTGCATATTCACATTAAAAGGAAACAGGAGTAATGCTCCTGATATAAAGGGACAGAAAATAAATAAAAGCCTAGAAGAAGTCATGTAAACATCAACTAAGGCTTTAGAAGCCATCAGGCTATCACTTCCGTTCACTGCCCAAATCACATCCCTCTAGAGTGACCCAGCCCCTCTGTGCACGAGAGCCCCATTCACTCACAATGGAAGACTCTGATTTTACTTAGTAGTCGCCGTCATCATCATCCTAGACATAACAGTGGTAATAGTCATCATAGCACAAGTAATGCATCTACTACACTGGGTAGTTTATGAAATGCATGTAATGATTCAGATGCTCTCAACTTTCTACAAGTACACAATGCTTCACTCCAGCTTGGTTAGAATCTTCCTTGGCTTGACCAAAGATAATCTCTGCAAAACCATGGGGGAAATACCTTGACAGACACACCTAACATGTCTCTGTTATTGCAAGTACACTACCATTTTCCACATAGTTGTGGAATGTAAAAAATGTGAGCTATAAGGTGTCCTCATGACCAAGAAACCAAACGTGATTCATATTTTTCACATTTTTAGGGTTCCCACTGGTGCCAACTACTATCCATGCTATTACTAGAGCACTGTACTTCAATGACAAGTAAGTATTACAGTAGTTTTTACATTAGCATATTCCTAAGTATGATGTATTTATAATAATGCGAATCCCCCTCCTTTTTTTTCCAGCTGCTGGCTGAGTGTGGAAACCCACTTGCTTTACATAATTCATGGTCCTGTCATGGCGGCGCTAGTGGTGAGAACTCATTTTTAATTCTAGAATCCAAATTGTAAATTTGTGTCCAAGATGATTGTCTACCTGCTCCACTGAAATATAAATGCTAATAAATTAGCAGGAAATTATGTGTTTGTAATACTTCCTAATTTCATGACTAAAGGAAATGCACACTAGTACCACATCTTCCAAAACAAACAAACAAAAAAGATTTAGCAATTAATAAGATGAATCATTCACACCAGGAGTAGGTTGTTTTTCTTTTTATGGACAAGCTGCCCACACAAATGTGGACATGTGATTTATGAGAGCAGCGCTTCAGAGCAAATAGCTAGTCAATTGGTTATACATGAAGAAAAATATTGGACACAATGTTTATTAACTATATATATGAAAACAAGTTAACAATGACTTTTACAACCAAACACAAAAAGTACATTGTTGGTGAGTTTTAGGTTTAAATGTGACAAGTAAAACAAAAGAACCTCAGGAAGACACCTTAGATGAGTATCTTTATGAGCTTGGGGTAAAAAAAAAGATTTCTAAAGGAGGATACATGAAGGAAGAGATCAATAAACTGACTATGTTAAAATTAAGACAATATTGGGACCAGCAGTTAGCATAATGCCTATGTCACTGGACTCCCATGTATTCGACCGTGGTTCAAGTACCAGACCCAGTGGCTTAAAACTCACGCCGGGCGCATGTGCGTGCGTGCCCGAGATCCCGAGAGGAGAATGGAGGAGAAGGGATTGTAGCGTGGCCATCCCCCCCGGGGGGTGATTTCTCGCTTTCTATCTCTCTGTCTCTCTCTCTGTGTCTGGCTAGTGCATTGGCCCTATAGCAAAAAAAACCTCTCCCCCCCCAAAAAAAAAATTAAGACAATATTTAGAGAGGGAAAAGACAAATCTTAGTGCCCAAGAGGTAGTTGAAATAATCCAAATAAAGGCCAATACATTTATGTAAAGATGTTCAATCTCATAGTCAACAGGGAAATGAAGATTAAAACGACAGTGAGGTAGCACCCACCCCGCCGTAACAACTAACGTGAAAAAGAGTGATGGTACCAAGTGTTGACAAAGGGAAGGGCAGCTGGAACTGTTATAAACTGCTGGTGGGAACATAAAATAAAACCACCCCTTATAAACACATTTTGGCACTTTCTTATAAAGTTAAATATACACTTACAATATGGAGAGGTAATTCTACTCCTGTGTATTGGTTCAACAGAAAAGAAAACATATGTTCACACAAAGCCTTGTATGCAAACATATACAGCATTTTTATTCAAAATTGCTAGAAATGGATATAATTCCAATTTCCATCTATAGGAAAGTGAATAAACAAAATATACGTGCTCCTCGAATATTATCATATATTAGAGTACTAGTCAACAATAAAAATGATAATCCACGGATGAACCTCACAGATAATACGTTAAACCAAAGAAGCCAAACACGAAAGAGAACAGACCGCAGCATACTTTCTGTGGCAACAGAAATCAGTAGTTGCTTGAGATGGGGGTGGGGAGGGGGACTGACTGTAGAAATATGGAAGACGACTCTCTGGGGGGAATGGAATGTTTCTATCTTTTTTGGCATGGTTATATATATTTGTCTAAACTTTTTGAATAGACATTTACAAACTGAACTTTATTGAATGGACATTATCTCTCAATAAAGTTATTTTATTTTAAATCTATTCTTTTTAAAAGGTTAGCTTAGCTGTTTCCACTACATGAACTTTATAGATACATTCTTCAGCCCTCATTTCACTTTCACTTAAGTAGTCTTGGCTCAGACAAAACTCTTGCTAATGAAAAGACAAGAAGGCAAGCTTTACAAATACTGTTTATGACTCTCCTTTGTAACTCTCATTAGAGTCAAATCTACTATATTTACATGTACCAGAAAAATATTTCCTCATTTAAAAAGATATATAAATATAGGTCTGAAAAGGGTCATTGGTTATACTGATGGTTGGAGTCCCCGGAATGCTGTGCAAATGATAAGCTCTCTCTCTGGCAGTCCATCACATTCTGGGTAGGTGACATATGTCCCCCACACTGAATGAACAAGAAGTGAAGACTTCTTGTTTGTCCTTAGTGGTACTTATCAGGATGATTGGCTCATAACATCATACCTTTGCAGGTCAATTTCTTCTTTTTGCTCAACATTGTCCGGGTACTTGTGACCAAAATGAGGGAAACCCATGAGGCAGAATCGCATATGTACCTGAAGGCTGTGAAGGCTACCATGATCCTCGTGCCCTTGCTGGGAATCCAGTTTGTCGTCTTTCCCTGGAGACCTTCCAACAAGATGCTTGGGAAGATATATGATTACCTCATGCACTCATTGATTCATTTCCAGGTAAGGAAGTCAATGCTCTGTTTATCCAGCTACTTATTCAGCTAGCTGATCGAACTCTAACACCTATGACCTTTAATTTCATAACACGGCCTCCAATTCAACAGGCCCAGCCAAAATCCTGAAGAAAACCAGGGATTGGGAAACTCTTTCTTGTATCTGCTTTCTGTGCCTGCTTTTCTAATTCTCCCAGGGCCCTTCGTGGAGCACTCCAGCATGTTCTCCCTAATCCAACATACACTAATTGTCAGACTATCTTCTCATAAATATTGACTATAGGATAATGAGGATTCATAGATCTGCCCAGAGCTGCCCATGCCTCCTGCTCAATCTTCCTCTGTTTGTCAGGCGAATGTCAGAAATCCATCTGTGATAGTTCAGTGGCAGTAAAAGGGGGTTGAATGCAGGTCTCTCTTCTTGTAAGAAAGAATGAGGTGGGCTCTCAAGCTGTCTTGAGCTGCTCAGTATTTGCCACACTGAAGAGAAGAATGGCTTCCCTATTTTCATTCACTCCATCCAGACCTAAAACCCAATTAAGGCATAATGCTGTGTGGTTTTTTTGTTTTTTTGTTTTTTGTTTTTTGGTTTTTTTGAGAGGTTTTTTCGCTATAGGACGCGTGCACTCGCCAGACAGACAGAGAGAGACATAGAGACAGAAAGCGAGAAATCACCCCCCAGGGGGGATGGTCACGCCACAATCCCTTCTGCTCCATTCTCCTCCCGGGATCTTGGGCACGCACGCACATGCGCCCGGCGTGAGTTTTAAGCCACCGGGTCCGGGACACGAACCGCGGTCAACTACGTGGGAGTCCAGCGACATAGCCATTACGCTAACTGCTGGTTCCCCAATGCTGGTATGTTGAGAATAAAATTTCAAATTAGTTTTCTTTTGCCTTTTTTTTTTTCTGCCAGAGGACATGGACACTCACTGGAGAGAGGCAGGGGAAGAGAAGGAAAGTGAGAGGCACCCCCATGGGGATGAAATTTGTAACTGAGATAAAAACTCTGGCCTAAGAGTCTTGGTAGAATCACCTCCACCTTAGGACCACTGCCCTCCTCTAACCCCCACCATTAGTACTTTGTTCTTGCCTTTAGACTTCATTACACCTTGATTTTCTAGGACAGTCATGGAAGGTTCCTCTCTAGGCAGTCTATTTTTATTGACTACTAGACAACAAAATGCACAGAAAAACAACTTTAACTCTATTTTTTTCTTTATAGGGATTTTTTGTGGCGACTATCTACTGCTTTTGCAACAATCAGGTAAATATGTATTTTATATAATACTATCATATATATAAACCCAGTATTTTACATTTTACAAAGGGCTTCCTTGCACATTCTCTCTGATTTTACTTGCTTAGTTGGCCTCATAGAATTTCCTGACTAGCAGGATTACGTTTTTCCACTACTCTAAGCTGAGTCTTATCTGCGGTGTGTTACAATGGCAGATGTTATCCACACAGACAGCTAAGTTCTAATATCCTTGGGATGCCTCTTGATCTGGTCAGCACTCCCCAACAGCAATAATGAAATCTATTCTGGATTCTCAGAGAAAGAGAAGTCATGTCCTTATTTCCTCTGCAAGACCCAAGCTCTTGCTAAAGCAGAGCTAATATCCAGTCAGTTTATAATAGTTTAATGCCCTTTTGCCAGTTGCTTGGTGCCAGTTTCATAGCACTGAGTCAACATTTTGAAGATACTCCAAAGTTAAGACTCAAAAGAAGATTCTCAAATAATCTGTTATCTGACTATTTATACCAGTATAATCTAGACAGCCATCTGGCCAGTGTTGTCAAATGTTTCTTTGGCCAGAGTTTTCTTCCTTCCAATAAAATATTGGCTGGGAATCCAATTTGTAAGACATAAAAATGGAACTTCTATAACCTCAGAGGTTCTTCCAAAGAGCATCCAGGTTTCAAAAGCTCCCTCATTTTTCAGGTGAGAAACATCATATGACTTGCCCAGTGTCACAAACAGTTATAATAATAACCAAGACTGAAACCCAGATTTCTCGATTATGCATTAACTAAATATCCAGTAAATTATCTATGATTTCTCCCTGGAACCTTGTTACTACATTTTCTCTAGGACTGCATAACTTATAATACAAAAGTGTTTTTGATCATTTAAAATTAATTGCTATTAAGAATAATTCTAGGACTGGCTTCGTGGCCTAGTGGTTAAGGAAGATGGATCCCCATGGTAAACCTCAGTTCAAGTCCCAACCCTGGAAACTTGAAAAACACACCTCGCAGGACCAGCAGTTGGCATAATGGCTATGTCATTGGACTCCCATGCAGTTGACCGTGGTTCGAGTCCCAGACCCAGTGGCCTAAACTCATGCCAAGTGCGTGTGCATGTGTGCCCAATATTCTGAGAGGAGAATGGAGGAAAAGGGATTGCAACGTGGCCAGTCCCCCGTGGGGGGTGATTTCTCGCTTTCCATCTCTCTGTCTCTCTCTGTCTTTCTGGCGAACACACATGCCCTATTGCCAAAAATACCTCTCCAAAAAAAAAGAAAAGAAAAACACACCGCGCATGTGTGCATAAGGTGTCCACCCTCCTTACAGGATGGAGAAATGGAGGAAAAGGGATTGAAGAATGACCATGCCCTATTAAAGGGTACTTTCTTCCTCTCCCTCTCTCCCTCTCGCTGTATTTTTGGTTAGTACACACACACACTCTGGCTATTAAAAAATAAAAGATTTCTATGCAAGAAAAATTACATTTTTAAGACATCAACACATTATTTAATAATTATAAATGTATTCTAACCATTATAAACTGATAATTTATTCTCTATTCTTTATTTCAGTTAAATATTTAGTAGGGACCTAAAGTATTTCTCTGCTATGTAACTTGCTACTCATCTCCAATCCTGACATGGCAAGCTTTTCATTGTTTCTGTTTTTATTTTTATATTGATACATTTTATTTTTTTCTCCTTCCACTCCTCCATCAACTCATTCCTTCATTCCACAAAAATAAACAGTGTATTCACTGTTGGTTGGGGCTAGACTAAGGGCCAAGGACAGAAAGGAAAAGATTCTTCTCTTGTCACCTGTCGAAGTGTCCCTTTTCTTTCTGAGAACAATAAAAACTGATAAAGAAGTAGGGCTTAAGTCACTTTGTGCTTATGTCAATTTCTGCAAACATACAGTCATGCCTTTTGGATTTCAAGTGTCATGCAAAGTTTATTTGTTTTTATGAAAAATAATCTCAAAATAGAAGTAATATGAAAATGAGGTACAGGAAGAGCATGCCTTGAAAAGCATGAGAGAATTGCATGCCTCTGTAAAGATGCCACACTAATACTGTATCTTCACTATGATGTTGTTATTGGAAGCATCGGGCACAGAAAGCAAGCCCAGTGGTACTTCTAACAATTGAATAGCTCTGGTTCTTTCAAGTATGCTATCTCTGCTTTTTTTTTGTTTTATGTTACTTGGTTTTCGTTTGTTTGTTTATAAAGAAACCACTTCCATTTTCATTAAGATCCTACTACTGGGGGAAGGTTCAGATGTGACATTTCTAATAATATAGAAGCCACATATTGTGACATATCACAGTCCCATCGATTTTAGACATCTGGGTTTCAGCTGGGGGTTCTGTGAATGGATCGCCTTATAGCACCGAACACTGGCATGGCACTCACACACTCAGGAACTTACTTCCAGCTGCATCAAAGACAGGGATGTGATGGGCCTGGCCAAATCCTGAGCTTTAGCAGAGACCTAGAGGTCCAATATATCGGTTGCGCAACAGTGAGATAAAATTTTAATTTTTATTTACGATCAGTATGTTAGTGATTCCTATTGTGGATCATACTCTTTCTATGGGTAGACTAGAAGCCGGGAAGGAATTCAGAGAATTAAAGTTGTAGGAATCTGAAGACCATGAGAGCATACTTTTCTCTATCACGCATTTCTTACAATGACTCTTCCAAGTGTATAGGTATTAATTAGTCAAATATATCAGTAAAGAGTACAAAGTTATAATTGCAGCTATTATTTCTTATTTGTTTCCAATTAACAGTACTACTAATAATATTGATTTTGCCTCTTTTACTTGCTTTGGTTACTGCCCATGTACTATGGGTAAATAGTTTGTCGGTCAAAGTGACTTGATCAGAAAGGTCTCAATTTAACAGTCACAAATTGTATAAGAACTAAAATTCGATTTGCTGTAACTCGTTTTGCTTTTAAGAGTAACTTCCGGGAACCAGCGTTAGCGTAATGGCTATGTCGCTGGACTCCCACATAGTCGACTGCGGTTCGTGTCCCGGACCCGGTGGCTTAAAACTCACGCCGGGCGCGTGTGTGTGCGTGCGCAAGATCCCGAGAGGAGAATGGAGGAGAAGGGATTGCGGCGTGACCATCCCCCCTGGGGGGTGATTTCTCGCTTTCTGTCTCTATGTCTCTCTCTGTCTGTCTGGCGAGCGCACGCGCCCTACAGTGAAAATCTCTCAAAAAAAAAAAAAAAAAAAAAATAAAAAGAGTAACTTCCACCAACCTCTAGTGGTTTTTAATCATCTCTTGTGGAAACTAGTTCAAAAGCCTTTGTTCAAAAGTTTTGTTAAACTCAGATCGTTGGGCCCCAATTAACAGAGCTTCCTATTCACAGGTCTGGGAAGGGGCTTGAGAATTTGCAGTTCTGACAAATTCCCAGGTAGTAATTAAGCTGCTGGTCCAGAGAACATACTTAAGAACCACTATTCTAGAAATAGTCAAGCATTGTAAAAGCATGTCTTAATGAAGAGGGGAGATGCAGGAGAATATTATTTGTGAAAATTAAGGAGTCAGGCAGTGACACAATGGTAACGTAACTGGACACACAGAAAATGTCCTAGGTTTGTGTCCTGAGATCTGACCATGCGGAAAGCACGCGCCTGTAATCCAGACTGACTGACACTAGGGGTGTTTCGTGGCACCTAGACCTTTTTTGGGGGGGTCTCTCTTTTAGTTCTCTCTCTCATGGAGGAAATGAACTTATTTAGAAAAAAGAAATTAAGGTATACAATTGCTTAAGCTTTTCAGAAACGTTGACTTTATTAAAATGATACTTACTTATTGTTTTTTTTAGAACAAGAAAATATCCCCAAACGTAGGAAAGTAATGGAAGGAAATTAAAAAGCCTTGATATCTAATCAAGTACCTAAAATCAAATACATCAAGTTATACAGCATATAAATTCTGAAAGTTAAAACCAGAAACCAGTAGAAATATTACTGATACATGCTCTAAAAGGGGAGAAAAAAAGTGGTAACTACTTTGTAAATAATATTCAGAAGTATCCCTTAGGGTCTAATTACTAAGGCTTACTTTACTAGGGATCCAGTTTCCGAAGTCACATAAAATGGCTTAAAATGTGCAATATTTTTTAGCTTTCAAGTGAATTTAAAGTTCTTTTTTTTTCCCCTGACATTCTAATATTTTTAAGTCTCAACCAGATTGTAGAAGATCTGTTATTGTAGTGGCTGGAAAGGGGTAGGACTTAAAATCTCTTCATTTATTGGATGAAAAGTTTAGGGGAAAAAAACCCACCTTTCCTTCATCAGCATATAGCTACAGGTGCTTCTGATGAACTTAGGAAAAGAAAGGCAGAAGTCAAAAACTTTCGAATCCTACCATGCAAATTCCAACCTAATTTTCTTTTTTTAGAGATGTAGGAACTGGAGGCCCAAATATACCAACCTGACATAGCTCATTAGTAATAGATCCAGCAGCCCGACCACTGCAGTAACAGAGAGCTGGGGGAAGGGATTGTAGGAACTGTGATGTGGCACGGCCCTGTCAAGGTGCCCTCCTCTCTCTCTGTCTCCCCTGTCCGCATACACATCTCCGTAATTCAGACGTCAATAAGTAAATAAGCCAGGTATAATAATTATGTGTTTGAACCATTAGATCAGGGCTCTGTTTGGTGAAACTGACACTAAGTAAGTTAATATAATCAGGAAAAATATGAACTGATTTATGTTCAGTGCTTTCTTTTTAATGAGTGGTGAATTTATGTCATTTAAAACTTTGGATATAATACTTACATCATAAATAACTCATAACTCGTCTGTTGCTATAGGGAACAAAAGTCTCTCTGTGTTTTGTATTTTTTTAAATTAATTCAATGCCTTTATTCTTGTCATCCAAGCAACATTAGGCTTAACCTATGGTATTGGAGGAGATAATGGTCCTTCCTACACTGTAATTATTGAAGGGTCTCTGACATGTTGCCAAGGGCCAGTTCTTATATGTATGGTTTACAAATTGAAGTACAACACTATCGCTACATAAAGGGATGAGTTGTAATTTGGGAATATATTAGGTTGTCGGGAAAGTCATGAGTATTTCCTATGTTTTCCTATGTAAATATGTGTCATGACTTCCCACCCAAACAACCCATAATTACAAAAGGCTATGAACCTTTCTGTAATACTAAGTCTGAATAATTAAAACAGACTTCAAACTCTGTCCTCATGCTGGGCTGGGTACTTCATTAATAGACATGGTATTACGATGGGGGTTGTTTTTAAAGGACAGGTAAAGCAAGAACAAAGACTTTATTTTCTTCCTTCCCATCTAGGCATGTTTGCCAACTTATTCTGTCTATCTGGGATACCTCTAAACATCTGTGTAAAGGACAGATATTAAATATCTGTGTAAAGATACCAAGGACAAGCTTGGTATCTAAGAGATGCTGAATTCATGAACTCTATCAGTTTCCTTGGTCTGGGGACATAGCTTCTCCAAAAATATGCAGAATCAATCTATTTCCCAATTCCTCCACAGAGAATCTAATGATCCTTAGATTATAAAGTTGTTATTTAAGAACCTACATTTTTGGGCCAGCAGATAACATAACAGTTATGTCACTGGACTCCCATGTGGCCGACCATGACTCAAGTCCCAGACCTGGTGGCTTGAAACTCATGCTGGGCATGTGCACGTATATGCCCAAGATCCCATAATGAATCATGCTGGGCATGTGCACGTATATGCCCAAGGTCCCATAATGAAAATGGAGGAGCAGGGATTGTGGTGTGGTCATCCCCCCAGGTGGTGGGGTTGGTTATGTTTCACTTTCCCTTTCACCATCTCTGTGTCTCTGAGTCTCTCTCTCCAGCGAGCACACATACCCTAAGGCAAAAATCTCTTAAAAAATAATTAACTAGGGACCAGCAGTTAGCATAATGGCTTTGTCGCTGAACTCCCATGTAGCCAACTGCGGTTCGAGTCCCGGACCCAGAGACTTAAACTCACGCCGGGCGTATGTGCATGCGTGTGCAAGATCCTGAGAGGCGAATGGAAGAGAAGGGATTGCAGCATGGTCATCCCCCCTGGGGGTGATTTCTCGCTTTCTGTCTCTCTGTCTCTCTCTGTCTTTCTGGCGAGCACGTGTGCCCTATAGCAAAAAAAAAACCTCTCCAAAATAATAATAATAATAATTAAATAATGTTAAAAAAAACCTACATTTTAATAGACACTACAACCCAAATAAAACCAGGCTTCACAGGAGGCTATGGACCTGCCACATTCCAGCTATTTCACTATGGACATGTTATATAACCTCCATTTACCCACCAGGAAAGTGAAGGTAAGAGTGGTGCCCTTCTCAGAGGGCTGTTAAATAAGTTATTGCAAATGGAGTGCTTCTAATATGAGGGGGACGTCAAAAAGCTCATGAAAAAAATGAAATTAAAGTACAATGTATTTAGATGTATTTTTTTAAATCCATGCGTCATTTTTTTCATAGGATACATTTTTCATGGACTTTTTAATGAATTCTTCATATGGCACATGGCAAACACTCAAGTGGTAGCCAAAATTTATCATGCCTGCTTTTGTTCCCGGTATGGCTTCTGTCGATGCAAATTTCAGCTATGCACCTTTCTCATTCCTAGGCATTTGTGGTTTGTGTTTAAGTCTCTTTCACTTTATTTATTTATTTATTTATTTACTTACTTACTTACTTATTTAATTTTGGCCAGAAAAAACTTAGCTGTTTTAGTACAGATAAAACTTATTTTTCTGAAGAAACCAATATGCTAATAAAAGGCAATAATTTTTCATCAGTGAACCTTTAATGTTAAGGCCCACTTAAAATACCTGTATGATAATTTCTTAATGAAAAATGAATTGGGGGGAAGCAGGTCACCAACAGGTGGTTAAGATACTGGACTTCCACATGGCCAACTATGTTTGATTGATTGATTGATTGATTGATTGATTGATTGATTGATTGATTTTTGAAGAGGTTTTTGCTATAGGGCACGTGCGCTCACCAGACAGACAGAGAGAGACAGAGAGATAGAAAGCAGGAAATCACCCCCCAGAGGGGATGGCCATGGCGCAATCCCTTCTCCTCCATTCTCCTCTCGGGATCTTGGGCACGCAACGCACACGCGCCCGGCGTGAGTTTAAGCCACCAGGTCCAGGATTCGAACCGCGGTCGACTACGTGGGAGTCCAGCGACATAGCCATTATGCTAACTGCTGGTCCCAGCACATGGCCAATTATGTTTTGAGTTCCGGATCCAGGGCTTGAAAGACATTCTGGGCACATGTGCATGCATGCCCAAGACCTCAACAGGAGAATGGAGGAGAATTGCAGTGTGGCATCTGCCCTGGGAAGTGATTTCTCACTTTCTGCCTTTCTGTCTCTCTAGCAAGTGTATGCACCCTATAGCAAAAATCTCTCAGAAAAAAAATTATTTTTTGTCAGGTTGACCTCACATGATTTTTATATTATTCTTTCTTCCACTTCACATATTCATTTATTTTCATCTGTTACATTCCTTTCTGTTTTTATTTACTCTGAAATAATATTAAAATATTCTCTAAACAAAATTACTCTTTTCCTTAACAAACAAACAAAAAAACATTTCTTCATGTTGTCTGTCTCTTTTAAGTAAAATTAAACATAAAGTGCTTCGCACCTAAGCACTTATCCTCTCTCCGTAAAATAAACAGGGATTACTGCATCAGTAATTTTAAAAGTATCTGATTGCCTCACTATTCTAATTGCCATTTGCAATCTTGAATCTTAAAGTTACTCCATGAAGATGAACCTCTCATAGGCACAAATGCCATATCTTCTTAACTTGCTTTTTAATGAATCGTTATCTGTAAATGCATAAAATCTGTAAAATTATATGACAGATTAATTGTTAACAGAAGAGATTGTTGCTCTCCTATATACAGAAAAATTTATTGGCTACAGAAACATTTAGTTTAATACTATATATAGATAGTTCAATAACATTAATAGATTCTGTTATTTCATGTTCCTTCATAGTCATACAAATGTAAAGTAGACAAAATGACTCTCTTTGATCATCTAGTTACATAGTTTAGCTTGTATTCTATTATTTCCAGATTCTCTCTCATGTGTTCAACTGTTATATTAAATTTGGGCAGCAGAATGAGCTAAACATGTATTAATAAATTGATACAAATATTTTTTTGTGAGCTTGTCTTATGTACTGAATAATAGAAACTCTGAAATACAGAATAGACATTGTTGCAATAGTCTCTCTCCCTCTCTCCCTCTCCCTCCCTCCCTCTCTCTCCCTCCCTCTCTTGCTCTTTCTCTCTCAGGTTTTTGCCATAGGGTACATGTGCTCGCTGGAGAGAGAGATGGACAAAGACAGAAGGAACATGAGAAATCATCTCCTCCCAAGGGAGAGGTCAGCTTGCCACAATCCCTTTTCCTCGATTCTCGTGGATTTGGGACACACGCTCATACACAACTGGCATGAGTTTCAAGCCACCAAGTTCAGGACTTGAACTGTGGTCAGCCATATGGGTGCCTTAACCACTATGCCATCTGCTGATCCTAGTCTCTCTTCTTTTAGTTTTATTCAGCTGTAGAGAAAAGTGAGAAGTTTGGAGATAACAAGAAAGATGAGTTTACCTAAATTAAATTCCATTCCGTAAAAAGTAGAATTAGACAAGCAAATTCACTGCCTATATTGTTTTCCTTTGTTGTTACTGTAGTTTTCACAGTTAGTGCTTCTTAGCTTCTTTTCTACTTCTCGTATTCAATATATACTTAATCATATTTATAAAACAGATTTGGTAAGTTTGTTTGCATGTTAGAAGCCTTACAATAGAAAGAGATGGAAATCTTATTCTCATCTTATTACTATATTACCCAGAGTTAAGGCCACACACACCCATCTCAAGCCATGTTGAATAGGAAGACTCCGTGGTATGAAGCCATTATCATAAAACCCAGAATTGTACTGTAGTTTACATATATAAAATTTTCATGACCAGTACTAAGTAGATATCGATATAAGCTTCTGCCCTGTCAGGTAGTAGAAAATAAAGTTTCCTAAACTTTTTCCCTTAATTGATATGCACACCGCATTGTAAACCTAAGTCAACTTTGACTCATTGCATCTAAGGAAGAAACTTCAGTTCAAAAATCACGAACAACCTGGCTCAAGGTAACTTAGGCAGGTAACTCAGCTCTCCAATTTGCAAATTATTTTTTTAAGCTGGTATCTTCAGTGGCCACAGAATAGACAACACAGCCTTTTAGACCAGAATTATAATACACCCTCCCTTAACTTCTGATAAGTTCCAAGAACCATGCTCCTAGACTTTGCTTAGGTCATTTTTTAACAATTACGTGAAAACAAGGCTCCCTTTTCTCTTCCAGGTCCAAACCACCGTGAAGCGCCAATGGGCACAATTTAAAATCCAGTGGAGCCAGCGCTGGGGAAGTCGCCGCTCCCACCGTCGCTCTTCTCATGCTGCAGCCTCTGCTGAAGCAGGTGACATTCCTGTTTACATCTGCCATCAAGAGCCCAGAAACCAACCCACCAACCACTATGGTGAAGAGAGTTCTGAGGTCATCGCTCTAAATATCATAGAACAAGAGTCATCTGCTTGAATGTGAAGCCAATCCAGCATCATGATCACTGAGCCTTCATTTCCTGGGGGAAAGACAGACCATGCATTTAAGTGATTCCACCCCCCAGGAGCTGAACATATCATCTGTGAAGAATTATTAAGTGAATTTGTCCATAGTGAATCTGAAGAAAGTTACTCTTGGTACTATTGCTTTGGGAGACAGTCTAGGAATGGTGTCTCCCACTGCAACTTGTGAACTCCATCCTTCATCCCCGACTGAGATGCAGATGTCATAGTAATGCAAGCAAAGTGTCCAAGAAAAATCACAATTAAATTGACCTAGTTCAGATACAGGGTGCTCCTTGTTAATCTTGAGCCATTTCTACCTTTTAAAAAGTAAAATCACTGTCAATATGTTTTTTCTTTTTAACTCTAGATTTCGAATTAGACTATTTCTGTAGTTGGTTAAAGAACTGGTTTTTAATTTTTTTAAAATCAATTCTGATGTTACTCAGATGTTTAACCATCCATACAATGTAAACTGTATAAATTGCATGACTCCTAAGACAAAGTGTCTTTCTAATATAAAGGTGACTATGATGTGGAGGAAAAGAACTGCATTTGGTAGGAAGATGTAATGTTCTGAATGAAAAAAGAAATTCAGAGTCAATCTGCTAGAAACATTACGTGCTTAGCTTGGTTTTGAATAATCCTGTCCATTGGGCAGGCCGTATCTGCTGTAAGGAATTGGTCTTAGTATTGAATGTGCTGTGGTCACTGACATTTATAAACTGGGAGGTCACAAAGAATTCATCAATAAATCTTTTCACAAAACTGCCAAAAATACAATTCTTAGTGGAAGAGAATATTCTCTTTGAAGAGAATGTTCCACTTTCCTAAGCTCCAGGATTTATAAAGCAAATCACTCCAAGGTTTATAAAGCAGATTACCTCTTGCCCTTGGGTGCTACCTAGCAGTAAAAGATAAATTTGTTTAAGATTGGTAATTAAAAGACTCCATATTAAGTTCATTAACTGCCTTCCACCTAGCTTCAAAGCTTAACAAGATCTCAGTTTTTTTCCAGAAGATTCAGTAAAGGCTAATTAGAAATTAGTTTGTAGTTGACCTGTTGTTTGCTACTATTAGCAAAGCAGGAGAAAAAAAAATATGTAATTGCTACAAGTTTAACCATATATCAGTTTATGTTAAAACAAAAATAGAGGTTTTATTTTTTTTATTAAAACCTAATATATCCCAACATCTTTCTTTACTTCCTTGTATAAGATCTTCCAAAAAAAAAAAAAAAAAAAAATCCCTGGCTATACCAGTAGCATTACTGGCACCTGAAATTCATTTGAGAATTTACAACAGTAATCAGAATTACTGTTATTGAATTTGTGTGTTAAATGAAGAGGTAAAGTGAAACACTCCAAATCTCAAGTCTCATCTATGTCATCTTATGCCACTGCCTTTTAGAAGTGATTAAGTTGTGGAAAGATGATAAATTGATTTGTTCTGGTTACAAATTTAGTGCACCCAGAGAAAATTATATTTCTCCAGTGAAAATACATTTTGGATACTAAAATAGCTTAGGTCTCCTTTACTGAATGTAAGGGAGTAGTTGAAAAGAAGGTATTTTTCCAATCACAGTGTTATGCAGTAATGTTTCTATTTTTGTTTACAAACATGGAAAACAGAGTATTTCAGGCAGCTCTGGTACAAATGTGATAATATATTGCTAAAATATTTTAGATGTTATTGTGCTAATATAGTAGGGGCTGACAAAAGTGATATAGCTTATTATAGAATTGCACATAGTGCCAAAATGATGTGAAATGTTTATGCTATGTTTATGTATAAATACAGAGTATGTTAAATAGCAAAAAGATGTATATTTGCATATTTTTCTAAAGAAATATATTATTCATTTTTTCATTCATTCACCTCGTTTCTGTTCATTCCATACTCTTTTTCATTTTAGTCTTAGGTTGCTGACATCTCATCTTATTTGTACCTCAGAAGGGGGAAAGAGAACCTAAAAATATATCTTAGGAACTATGAACAGAAGTATCAAGGTCATTATCTTTATTAGCCTAACTACCTTAAAGCGTCAATTTGCCTGTTGATTCAGTGACACAATTCTCATACCCTTGGCAGCACAACTGTTATTCTATGTCGGGTAGGTTTGGGAAGCACAGCAAAGAAATCCACGAAAAGAAAGTATCATCCTTCTATTGTTCTTGTATGTTTTTCTATTTTTGCTTTTTTTCTTTTTCATTTTTCTGGGGCCAGATTTGATCTGTCTAACATCATATCAGATCATTAGAATTGTTACAATCATTGGTTGTTAAGATAGCTTGAGAGCGAGACTAAGGCCAAATAAAAGGTGACTAATTAAATATCATTAGAATGCGTAAAGGTCACTATTGGATGATTTTCAGATCTGGAAAGCATGAAGTAGAACAAAATGAGGATTAAATGAGAACTACGGTGAACTAATCAAGGGGAACAGGAACAATTTGTAGGTTCTTCACATTATATGATAGTATCTTAAATTGCTGCCTCACAAGATCTGGGGAACTTGTTCAGAAAAGACTCATAAGGGCTACATCTTTCCCTTTATGTTTCAGAGGGCAATACAAATAGATATTATTATACCTGTGATCTTGGGCAACAAAAGTAATTTTCTATCATTCCACAAGATCTGATTTTTCAAGAGAAAATTTTGCACTCAAATGATCAGCTGCTCGCCTGCTTTGATCCCTACTACAAAGTGATCCAAAATAGGCCATTGGATATCATGGGTCCTGAGGAAGGGAAAGATGCTGGAAGAGACATGGCAAAAATGCTACTTTTGGGGAGCTGCAACCCTTCTCATTCATTTCTTCATTCTTACTCATTGATTCAAGAGCTATTTCATACACCTCCATCCTGCTGTAACATAACATAACTATTAATCACAATTACCGTGGCAAAGTTTCTTTCCAGTGACAACTGCTGCTTTGCTATGTTGGTGGTAAAAATCAAAACCTGTTAAGTGAATCATTAACCTAAAACAATAACCACTCAAATCTTAGGGGTAGAAGGACAAAGTGATATATATGGTTGCAAGGGGGAGCTGAGTAATCTTGCCTCCTTATTTATACCGTGCAGGAGAGCTCTAATTTTTTTTTTTGAGAGGTTTTTGCTATAGGGCACTTGCGCTTGCCAGAAAGAGAAACACAGAGAGACAGAAAAGCGAGAAATCACCCCCCACCACCACCACCAGGGGATGGCCACACCACAATCCCTTCTCCTCCATTCCTCTCAGGATCTTGGGCAAACACATGCAAGAGCCTGGTGTGAGTTTAAGCTACTGGGTCTGGGACTTGAACTGCAGTTGACTATATGGGAGTCCAGAGACACAACCATTATGCCATCTCCTGGTCCTGAGCCCTAATAATTTAAAAAAAAAAAAAAAAGATCCTTGTATAAAGGCTTAGTAGCAAAGACTCATTTCACTGACAATAAGATATGAAATAACTATTCTTCCATTGGCTAGATTACAACTCAAGTGCTTATGAAAGAACTTAGCACTTTAGGGTTTAAAATGAGATTATTTATGAGGATAGGCAATCAAAAACCATACTTAGAAAACCAACCAGGTAAAATAAGAAGAAAACCCCACTTGCAATTTTGAAATAAGCTCTTCCTCTTAGGTTAAGCTTATGTGAAATTGATTTTACTGAATGAATAATTTGTTTTGAACAAGGGGATATGGAATATAATATCGAGAAACAAAGAAAAAAGATTACAGATTATACGTGCACAAAAAGGCAAAGGTAGAGAAGCCACATCTGAAAATTAGGAATAATATTTCTAATAATTTCTGTTCTTTTGGACATTGAATATTTAATATTTCCAAATAATAGGAAGGACTGAAGGAGAGAAATCACAGCCATTGAAACTGTAACTAAGGTTAGAAAGACTTTCTGATCTCATATCTTCCTCTATTTAAATTAACAAACATCTCTGAAAAAAATCTCACAGGTTTTTTTTTTTCATTATTTTATGGCCACCTGATCTCTAAGGTTATTGATCAATATCCATGTTATATTTACAGAAATACAATGCTTCCTATGCAACTTTCTCAGAAACCCTTCCCCACCACTCGAACTGTGCTATCCCTCTTTACCTATTGACCAGCAGTGCTATCTCCTGTCACTGCAGTTCCCGTTGCTAAAGAGACGAATTATCTTATTTTAATTTGTAGAAATTTCCTCCAAATAAAATCTCAGAGTGTTGCTAGTGAAGTGCTGAATAGAAATTCAATAAAACCTGTTGAGAGGTCTTTAATGAAGGGGAAAAAAGTGTTCAGAATAGATTATAAAATCTATCTCAATCCAACCCTGTTATTCTGGCAGATCAAAACGAGCACACCGATCTTCACGCAGAGACCTGCCCCTAGACCCAGCTGCAAACCCCCCTAATCTCTGCACAGCAGGATAGTGGTTAGTTTCTAAGTAGCAAGCCTTTCTCTGGATGTAGCACCTTTTCTACTATGCCCGGGCATTGTAGCTTCTGTTTGCTGTGAACAAGAGAGGGATATTCTGGGTTTAAAATGATGGAGAAAATCCCTTAAATAAAGAGGTTTAAGAAGAAAAAGAAAGATAAACACCAAGCTCTGAAACACCACACTCAATATAAAAAGACCAGCAGACATTAGCTTATCTACTCTTATAGTAACGAATACTCTGTGTTACCATGTTACTGATAAGAAAACTAAATGAAGTTGAATAACTTGTCTGCCACAATTGCACAGTAAGGTGTGGCTGAACTAGAATCTGAATAATCCCCAGTGCCTTGTTTCAAAATGCCATCCTGATTGACCCAAGTATATAATCTGGCCTCTCAAAACCAAGCTGCTCCACTTTTTCCCTGTAAAGGCTATCGAATAGTTGTCTCCTATAGGCTAAGAGAAGAAAAGGAATGTTTGCAATATGCATAGTTTTGGTCTCACACTAACTTAATTTGTGGTCCATAGATTCCTTTAAATATAAG